GGAAACAGAATTAGCAAGGATCGAACGCTGGTTTAACTTAAGATGGAGTAAATCAAGTATAACTAAAGTTCATGTAATCCCCCCTTAAGCAAGCTTAGCTTTTGGTCGATATGCTCAATAGCTTCTTGGATAAAGTCGGTCAACCTCATATTTAGCCAATTCTAAATGGAATGAAAACGAAGTGTCAAATCCACAGTCTCGGACTACTTTTCAGTATAAGGGTCAGCTGTTTTTCAGACAATGGAAGAATACGTGGCATATAAGATTAGTTGTAAGAAAGTAGTCCCGCATCAATGTTAAGATAAAGGCAAATTATCTGTTTAAGGAACACGTGTTGGATGATAAGCGATTCGTCCATCTGACTGCGGTAATGGGCGAACACGTATGGTAGAATTGTATTGGTATAAGATAATCGTTCAAGATTCAGTCTCTTTGACGAGCTATTAAACAAGTCTTTATGATAAACAGAATTCATAGGACGCTAACCAGTCTTTCTTGCTTGAGCATGGAAATCGAAAATATTTCATTTCAGCCAAAGAGACAAGCACCACAAAACCACGCACACGACGAATTAAATGATGTGCAACCCCTATTGCGTCAGCACAACCACCACCATCGATTACAGGCATCGGAAACGATAGCTGCGGTCTCGCAACTTTTCACGTTTCATGTATATTTTAGCAGAAAAATTAACATGTCTAAAAGAAGAATGTCAGATTTTATTAGGCAAGTCAATGTTTTGAATGCAACGTTATATTCTATCTTCTTAATTCTAATTTTCTTTTATTGTGCTTGTTCTTAATAATAATAATAATAATAATAATAATAATAATGGTAATAATAATCTTTCTGTTCTTATTTTTCACGCTCAGTGTCTTAGTGACTTTACCGCCTTGCATGGAATGATATGATTAATATATATATATATATATATATATATATATATATATATATATATATATATATATATATATATAGATATGATTAATCTATATATATATTAATATATATATGTTAACATATATCTATCTATCTATCTATCTATATATATATATATATATATCTATATATATATATATATATGTTAACATATATATATTAATATATATATAGATTAATCATATCTTATATATATACATATATAAGGCAAATTATCTGTTTAAGGAATACGTGTTGGATGATAAGCGATTCGTCCATCTGACTGCGGTAATGGGCGAACACGTATGGTAGAATTGTATTGGTATAAGATGATCGTTAAATGCAAGACTCTCCAAGCTCTAGGTCACTGACGATTTTATGAAAAAATAAATAACCGAATATTCGCCTTTCTTCCTGCCGGGCGTCGATAACCTATGGGTTAGAATCCCCGACTGATGCCAAATTGGTTGGGTTTCGGTCCCGGCTTGAGGCGATCGAATGTCTAGCCACACTGATGAACTGTGATACAGCGAAACAGTCTGTCTGTGAATGACGATATATATATATATATATATATATATATGAATTATATAAAAATAAAACTCTATTACCCCATTCATATGGTCATTTCACCCCGGGAAGCCCATTAAGACAGTAGACATGGAAAATTGTAGTTTAAAAACAGTAAAATCCAATTGGCTAAGCAAAACGCTCCTGACGAAATCGGTAAAGGCGCTTCACGCTATATGACGATTCCGTATAGGATACAGGTTCGATGCCTGTCGGAGGACGCATGTTTTCTATTACAATTTTTCGGACATTTAGGCCGGTTAATGTTGTTTATTATAAACAGAGCATTTACTTAAATATTTGTATCTATAAAAAAAGAATGTATAAACATAAAAATGTTTTTATTTATTTTTCTTTCTTTCTTTCTTTCTTTCTTTCTTTCTTTCTATCTATATATATATATATATATATATATATATAAAAATATATATATATATATATATATATATATATATATATATATATATATATATATATATATATATATATATATATATATGAAAAGAATACCAGTCGTTGCCCGTGACGGATACTCGTTATTGTTGTACGTTGCTACATTGACTTTCTGCGTTTTGATTTCAAACCAAAAACGAATAAATATGACCACACTTTCATAAAAGTGCTACATAAAACACGTTTAAACTTCTTTACTTTACTTTTTTACACCCCTGAAGATGTCTGATGCGAGTCGAAAGGTTGTACAAAGATTTGGAATATGTTTTGCCTGGTTTGCTGAAGATGATCCGCATTTTGGATAACTTCGAAAGACATAACACACCTATTCTTTTTAATAAAACTGATATATATATATATATATCGATAACGTTATAATCCCTCACCGAGTTGCACAATAAAATCTCACTCCAACAAATAAGCGATTGTAAATAGACAAAAAGTATAGAGATAGGTTCGCTAATCGCCCGGTTCAGTCTCTTTGCACGTCTTTGGAACAGGTTTAGAGGTTTATCACTTGTATCATGTTTAGATTTTCTTTCACACCTCTTGTCGCTTAGTGACATTAACGCCTTGCTTGGGGTGAAATGATAATAAAAGGTATGTAAAACAATTAGATAACTTTTATTGTATTCGGACAAAAGAGCTCAAGTTCGATTTCAATAAAAACATACGTATTTTCTTAGGTGCATAAAGAATTGTCTGTTTATCTTTTGAGGTAGCCTTTCAATACCCTCTCAAGATTAATGTTATTATTGGGTTGAAAAGGATTATATATATATATATATATATATATATATATATATATATATATATATATATAAAGAACAGTAAGATATATAATCCGGTGTTCTTATAGATATTTTTATTTTTACAAAATAGTGCTCAATGTAAATTTACAGAGCATTAATATTATAAATTACTTGATTTAAAATGTTTTTTTCGCTACACAGTTCTAACCATGTTTCAAAAATGGAAGCTGAAAGTTCCGAATTTAATAACAAAATTAAATTCGCAGCTTTCAACTTCCATTTTGAAACATGGTTAGAACTGTGTATGAAAAAACATTTTAAATCAATTAATTTATATATATATATATATATATATATATATATGTGTGTGTGTGTGTGTGTGTGTGTGTGTGTGTGTGTGTGTGTATTATGCTCTCGTTAATATCGGTTAAGCACTGTTGACACAGTGGGTAATTCTAAAGAGTTGCCGTCTCCGATAACGCAACGTTCTTCATTAAATGAATAGAGCACTTTGGCTGCCTGGCGTTTGTTTACATTCCTAAAAATAATACGCTAGAAATTCCCTTATCCTCTACCCTGGATAGAAACTGAGCCAAATCGGTCGGGTTTCGATCCTGAGTTGAAGTAATCGGATGAGCTGTGATACAGCGAAACAGGCCTGTATACGAAGGACATTATATATATATATAATTAGAAATATTATGTCTGCTTATTTTCAAGCTGAAATTCACATGACATATTTAGCATATAAATGCAAATATATAACAATGGTTTTACTAAATTTGGTTGTTTAATACCAATTTTATTGTGAGATCAGTGACTTACTAAAATCTAACATTTATTAAACGTATAAAAATCTCGGATGTCAGACACTTTAATCTTTTATACGAAGGTTTTTTTCAAAGTATTAAAGTAAAAGTAAATTAAAACGTATTTTATTACAGGACAAAGCCATTAGTAAATAAATGTAATCGCTGATGAAATGTTAATGTTAATTGTTAAATCAACCGTTTCCATACAGCAAATCGTCGGCTTTCATTGACCGGACATTTAACGTTGCTGATGGTTGACATTTATAAAATCTTTTTTCTTAAAAAGTTTTTCATACAAACAAACATCTCAGCCCACCAACTATAATCGCACGTTCTAATAGTGATAGGAGTTGCCTTCCTAACCTTTTGTTTCAGGCTGTGTGGAAATTCATCATCTTGATTATATTATTATTTTCCCTATTAGTTACATCTACTAACCGTTTTAGTTGTTACTGGAAGTTTGTAATGATGCGGGGTTTGTTATCTAGTAAGGCTTTTATTTTGTGAACATGTAGCGCCAGTCTATGGAATATGATAAAGGATTGTCTTAAGACCTAAAGGATTCATTCGCTTGGAACCATTTTTACTATGTGTTATGGTAATTTACCCACGCACGCATGGACTCTCCCAGCTATAAATAGGAGCAGGTACTGCCTTTTGGTGTGTGAAGTTTCCAGCAGTCAGCTCTGTCAGTCGGATTGAACATTCTTGCTGTAACACTCTCGTTTGTATATGTTTGTATTACTGTTTTCTGTTAATATATTTAACTCAATTCCTCTCTTGTGTCTTTATTTCTCGCCCTAACAAAGCCACAACAGTATATTGATCTGAGAAAACGGTTGTATTTAGATGAGATTGCTGAACGAATTTGACACCATAGATGACATCTATATGAGAGTCTAGCTCTGAGGGGGGTTATTTTAAAACAAAACTCAAGTTCCGGGGTTAATGTTTTCACTTTAGAGAATCTTAGAATATTTGACAAAAAAATTAAACAGCAACCGATTTCTGTGTTCAATTTCCTTATATTCTACACTGAATTTGTTATGATTGGTGCATACACTGAGATATTTGAAATGTTTAGAACTTATTCCTTCCGCATTCTGAATTTTTATAAGGCTTCAGTTTTATGTGTCGTCACTCCACTCTTTCCAAATAAGGGCATAAAATGTGTGGTGTTCCAAATTAATACTTCTGTCCTTAATTTTGATATGCATTAGACTGAATCATAAATATTTTCAGTTTTTATCAACTTTATTCTTCAACAAATAAAGGACAATAACATTACTTACATGCGGATTATTGTCCGCATATTTGTTGATATTATCACAACGGTTGGGTCATTGCACCCTGCAGGCTTCATTAGGTGCAAGTTGGTCCGGATAATCTGCCTGTTACACTAGCACACTAACGATTGGTATTGATAAGCCTAGCTTTATAGCGAGCACTATAGCATATATATTACAGTATTTGGTGTTCCCAAGCAGTCTCTTATCTAACTGGTTGCAATATTAACAGACTCAAATAGATAGATAGATAGATAGATAGATAGATAGATAGATAGATAGAAAGGAATAAATTCGGATAGATAGGTAGGAAGAAATTCGGATGATAGATAGATAGATAGATAGATAGATAGATAGATAGATAGATAGATATCAAATTCATATATATATATATATATATATATATATATATATATATATATATATATATATATATAGATAGATAGATAGATAGATAGATAGATAGATAGAAGAAATTCAGATAGATAGATAGATAGATAGATAGATAGATAGTGAAATGGTTGCGATAGATAGATAGATAGATAGATAGATAGATAGATAGATAGATAGATAGATAGATAGATAGATAGATAGATAGAGACAAATTCGGATAGATAGCTAGATAAGAAAAAATTCGAGTAGATAGATGAAATGGGTGCGATAGATAGATAGATAGATAGATAGATAGATAGATAGATAGATGAAATGGCTGAGATAGATAGATAGATAGATAGATAGATAGATAGATAGATAGATAGATAGATAGATAGATTAAATGTCAGGTCATTTAAAAATGACCGAAAGATAAACAAACGACTCCAGAAGAGAATAAATACGGAACAATTACCACAGAAATTAATTCCGGATTAGTTTTCTGATAAAAGTTAGTCTTTGAAGTTCCTAGTGTGCCTTGTGTTCTCGTTGGTGGTCCCTGTCTCCGAGGGCCCAGGGAGATGGGCGGCCATTATTTGGTGTGAAGGCAGATGGCGCCCACCGACTTTCGGAGGCGCTGGTAATTTGCTTCACCGCCACTAACGTCGCCGTCATCAGCTGTTAAACAGTCAGTTTGACTCGGCGGATGAAAAGTGCCTCACTAAATGAAGAAATGTTGCGACTTTCCACATTAGTGAGTATATATACGCGCATGAGCGTTCGCGCATCCTCACTGACGCACACACTTTAGACGCTCAGACATCATGTCTGCGACTTGATTTCGAGTAATGCCATCGCCTGACTGATCCTCAAATATAGGGAGGTCAGATGTGGCTTCTTATTTCTGCTAGGGTCTTACATTATCTTGTACACATGTACTAACGTTAGACGGCACTTGCAGAAGGCGATCATGGCTCTCCATCTCCTTCTATCCCTTGCAGCTCTCAACAAGTTCATTCCCTCTGCTTCCTCTCAAGACCACGTTCTGTCATCCATTTGCTTAAGCCCGCCAGGTATGTCACGCGTTGTTTTCCCTTGTCTCTCTTTCCCTCTATTCGACCAACCAGTATCAGATTCTCCAGGCCCTCCTTCCTCATTATATGTCACAGAAACTCCAACTGCTTCTTCCTTATATTAAGTATAAGCCTCCTCCTTGTTTGCAACCTCTCTAAGATCTTATCGTTGCTCACACGTTCGGTCCATGATATCCTTAGCATCCTTCTGTAGAACCACATCTCTGACACTATTACAGTTCGTAACTCGAAATATCTAATAAACAGGACGCATAATGAAAAAATGCATATAGCAATAAAGACAACATTTTATCGTCAAAAACCTTATGTTATTAAATGAATGATCAAAGTGTTTTATTTATATATTTTCTTTTTTTTTTTTAACCCTTTTAGAACTTTAAAAATTTTGTTTAAAAATCTTTTTGTTTCGACGTCAACGCGGAACCATACATCTGTACGGAAAATTTGAGTGTCTTTTTGCGTTGGGAAGCACAATGATTTTGAAATTCTTGTAAAGGTCAGATAATTGTCGGATTTTAATGAAACTTTCAGAACTTATTTACAAATGAATTAAATTATTTTTCAAATGTTTACGTTTTTAGAAAATATTTGTAAAAATATTTTTTTTTTTACATCTCATTTAATTTTATGAAATTTCAAAAAATTCTTTTTTTGCATTGCTTAATTTTGTCATATTTGTTATAAAGAGAAGTCCCAGGAGAATTTAATATATATATTTAATTATTTTTTGGTCAAACAGGACCCCAGTTACAGAAAATCTGCTTAGAAAAGTAAAATAAAAAAATGCAATAAAACTAAAATAATATTTAATTAGAATAGCTCTTAATTGCTTAGATGAATAAAATCTACTACTTCAGGAAAAAGAATTTCGGTGGATACTGAATTTTTTAAAATTTTTTACATTTTAAAAATAATAATGGAATTTTAAATATTTGAAAAGTCTATTAATTTGTATCGGTCAAGTGATATTGTTTGTAAATTAAAATGTATTTAATAATCATAAATGGAAAAGCTTACTAGAATTCAAATACCGCAAGGCAATATGTTACCAGCGCCGAAATCAAGGGCTCCAACACTGCTTTTTAGCTGTAGAGTATGTGCTACCCCAGGGATACATACAGTTTTGCTACTTTCTCCTAGACCGGTTGCTACCTCAGTCTGTGTTGCTATTTACCCATAACTGGTTGGAGAAGGGTATTAGCACGTAAGTGAATGCAATGGACACGACTGGAATTTGAACTCAGTTTTCCGATTCCTCAATCCGAGCCGTTATCCATTACTCCACCGTGCCTCCTCCAGAGTGAGAGATAGAGAGAGACAGAATGAGAGAAAACGAGAGAGTGTCAGTGTATGCGTATGTATGCGTATATATATATATATATATATATATATATGTGTGTGTGTGTGTGTGTGTGTGTGTGTGTGTGTGTGTGTGTGTTTGATTTATTGAAACTATATCTGTGCATGTTTATATATATATATATATATATATATATATATATATATATATATGATATGTGAAAATATATAGAAAATAGGAAGGAACTGGTTAGGTAAATAATCCAAAGTCCCTTAGTATTTTAGTTATTATTTTTTAAAAATAGTGCTCGATACAAAAGTAGTGCATAAATATAATTATTTATTTAAAATATGATTTCAACTCGCGACATAAGAGGTCTCATGTTTCAAAACAGAGCCGAAAACTTCAATATAATTATTTAAATTAAATTGAGTTAAACAGAGCTTACTTTAACTCAATTTAATTTAAATAATTATATTGAAGTTTTCGGCTCTTGTTTTGAAACATGAGACTTCTTATGTCGCGATTTGGAATCATATTTTTAAATAGATAATTATATATATATATATATATATATATATATATATATATATATATACACATGATTAACATGAATCACGCTCTGTCTCGCCAATATAGATTTACTTGAAGTAAAATCTATTTTATAATGAAGCTGTCTGATCAGCAAAACGTGTCAAAATAAGAGTTTTTAAAATGGTCATATATATTTATTATAAATTAATGGCTGACACCTCGTTTCCGAGCACTCCTGTCTGCTAGGGCAGTTTAGCTAATCCTTGTTGCAAACGCCCGCTCAGGCACATTTATGTTTCTTCAACACCCACAGATTTCACCTGTGGCTGATACTGCAACTATGCTGAGTAGACTTTAGTAATAGCTTTTGAGAGGGAGCGCGTCATCTGGCGAGAGCAACAGTTTTAACAATCGACTTTACTTAAACCCTCGGTCACAATGACCTGTGATAAGACAACCATCGATCGTTCCCGGACAGTTACTTCTGTCCGCTTACACACACAAGGCTTGCATCAACAAATTTTCAAGCATTTCCCAAATGGGCCGCACGCTGGGATCTCATCCCCAGATCGATAGCGTTAAGAAATGACCTTATTGATATATCATGGTCTTATGGGCAGAAAGCAAAGGTTCTGACCACTAATTAGCTCAGATAGAGTGCTCACTTTGCATATGAGAGGTACCGAGTTTTATAATTTAAAATTAAATTCGTAATCACTATCTATAAAAGGCAGGATGTGTGTGTGTGTGTGTGTGTGTGTGTGTGTGTGTGTGTGTGTGTGTGTGTGTGTGTGTGTGTGTGTGTGTGTGTGTGTGTAACGAATGCACGGCCGCAATTTTCGACGAATTTGCACCAAGACCGACGTTGCATTTCCCAACTCCCATCGATAGTGGAAATAATCGATTTTTTTCATGCTTCTACGGCAGTTTTCATGTAGTTTGCGGCCATTTTCTACTGGCCAGAGTGAGAGCCAATAGCTGACTGCCACGAATAGACGGGAAGATTCTATTGGCCAGCGTGAGAGCCAACAGCTGACTGACACGAATGCTAACTAGCATGCTAGCATGCAAAAAAATCGATAGCTGCATTCGTCACAAGTGGGAAAAATTTAAATCTGCATGGCACTTTACTCCAAATGGCTCATTGGCTTGCTTAAACTCAACGTTGATTCTGATTCCGCAGAACTGGGTTGTGTGTGAAAAAGTATTTGTTGTTAACATTCTTTTTTCATTCGGTTTTTCCAGTTACGAGTCCTTTTTTTAAAGCGAATCGTTTTGTGTTCATTTTGTTGAGTTCTTTTTTCGTAACAGATTTAATGTTTAGTATAGAGCTTAGAAAAACTTCACAGTGTGAGATAGGCAAGAAGTAAGGCATGTAGCAACATCAGCACGGCTAAGGGCACTCCTTTAAAAGCAAGGAAGGGCAAAAATATTTTAAGTCAAGTGATAGCGATTGCTGTATGAGTCGTACGATTTTTGAATCAAGCACGGGCAACGCCGGACCATGCTGCTAGTCAGTATATATATTTGTATTATACTAAGAGAGAACACATTTTAATGCCTCTATGAACTTGTATTGGTTGAACGATTGCTTATAAATGCTTTAAAATAATCGACACCAGAAAAATAGATCAATTTATGTCGCAGAAGTCAAAGTATAATGGCAATTCCTTATCTCTAGAATTACAAATTCAAATAAGTGAAAACCGAACAACAATATGAACTCAACATTTTATGCATCCTTCGCACTTCAGTTTAAACATGTGCTTTTAGTTTCCTAACTTTTTTTTTTGATCTAGTTTTTTTTTTGTTTCCTTTTATGTATTGTTTCCTTTTCGAGTCCTTTCTTAGATCAATTTTATTTTTCGTTGCTTCCTTTTTATGTATTATTTCCTTTCGCGTTCATCTTTAGATGCATTTTATTTTTCGTTGTTTCCTTTTTTGTACTGTTTCCTTTTCGCGTCCATTTTTAGATGTATTTTACTTTTCGTTGCTTCCTTTGTTGTACTGTTTCCTTTTCGCGTCCATTTTTAGTTGCATTTTATTTTTCGTTGTTTCCTTTTTTGTATTGATTCCTTTTCGCGTCCATTTTTAGATGCATTTTAATTTTCGTCGTTTCCTTTTTTTGTACTCTTTCCTTTTCGCGTCCATTTTTAGATGCATTTTATTTTTCGTTGTTTCCTTTTTTTGTATTGTTTCCTTTTCGCGTCCTTCTTTAGATATATTTTATTTCTCGTTGTTTCTTTTTCTGGATAGTTTCTTTTTCGCGTGCTTTTTTACATCTTTTATTTTTACTTTTCTTTGTTTCCTTTTCTGTAGCCCATTTATTGCACAGTTTGCTTTTTTCCCCATTTTTACTTTTTTTCTACTCACAGAAACCTTGTGACTACGTGACGGTCTTTAGAGTTGTTGCTCAGCAAAAATATTTCTTTCTAGTCTGAACAGTAAGAAATTTAGAACTTTTGAACTGAACAAGCGAAGCGATAAACTCAGTTACTTTTTATAGTAAATCTTTATTTTCTTCTGCATTATTTACATGTTACCGCACCTTTTGCTGTGTGAATGCTGATAGCTGGATCGTAACGAAGCAAACTATCCAGCTCGCTCTCCAGCAGTTTGTTAATAGAAAAAAAGCTTGGAAAAGAAAAACTGAAGTAACGAAAATTAAGACTGTCGTTGATTGGTTGATATCTTTGCCGCCATCTTCAAGGGTGATGTGTTGTCTATATGGGGAAGAAGTTTCGCCACTTGTTATTACCCAATGAAAAAGGAGAAGGCATAAAAAAGAAAGAAACTAGATACCAAGAAAAAAGAAAGAAAGCGATCCAAATCATTAAAAGACAAATACAAAAAGAGAAGGAAGTGAAAGAAGAAAGAAAGAAAAATAACAACGGAAGAAACGGAAAGAAGAAAGAAAGAAAAAAGAAGTAACCAAATAAAGGGAGATGACCATAAAAAAGGAAGAAAAGGTTGTGTCAAAAAAGAAAGTCAAAACATAAAGGAAAAAAAAACTAGAAAATGAGTAAAAGAAAAGCGAATGCGTGAAAGGAAAAAGAAAAAGAAGGAAAAGGAAAAAGAAGGAAAACGAAAAAGAAGGAAAAGGAAAAAGAAGGAAAAGGAAAAAGAAGGAAAAGGAAAAAGAATGAAAAAGAAAGAAGAGGGAAAAATAAAAAGAATGAAAAATAAAAAGAAGGAAAAATAAAAAGAAGGAAAAAGGAAAAAGAAGGAAAAAGAAAAAGAAAAAGAAGGAAAAAGAAAAAGAAGGAAAAAGGAAAAAGAATGAAAAAGAAAAAGAAGGAAAAAGAAAAAGAAGGAAAAAGAAAGAATGAAACGAAAGAAGATTGAAGGAAAAGCAATGAAACAAAATAATAAAGGCGAAAGACGATGATGTAAAAAAGGAAAACAAAACTAAAAACAGTTAAAAAAAAAAAAAAAGGAACGAAAGAAAGAAAGTAATATTCTGACCTTTGGTCAGAATAGTGGTCAGATGTGTTTATTACCCCTTTCTCATATTCAAACACCTTTTTTTCACAGATGGATTTGTCTCTCATTTCATTCCGAGGTCGCCTATTATAATGAGCGAAACGTGTTGTTAAATAGCTTCCCAATTTGTCTTCTTATCCCCGCTATTGTTCGGACATTATTCTTCATCATATACTCAACCTCGTGCACCGATCTACAAAAAACCCAATAGAAACTCAGTACTAAGAAACAAGAAACAAGGAACAGAGTACTAAGAAATAGAAACAAGTAAAGAGTACTAAGAAAGAGAAACAAGGAAAAGAGTACTAAGAAATAGAAACAAGGAAAAGAGTACTAAGAAATAGAAACAAGGAACAAGAAATAGAAACAAGGAAAGAGTACTAAGAAAGAGAAACAAGGAAAAGAGTACTAAGAAAGAGAAACAAGGAAAAGAGTACTAAGAAATAGAAACAAGGAACACAGTACTAAGAAATAGAAACAAGGAAAAAGTACTAAAAAGAAACAAGGAAAGAGTACTAAGAAATAGAAACAAGAAAAAAACTAAGAAAGAAACCAAACAGAGTACTAAGAAATAGAAACAAGGAAAAGAACTAAGAAATAGAAAAAGGAAAAAAGTACTAAGAAATAGAAACAAGGAACAGAGTACTAAGAAAAGAAACAAGGAACAGAGTACTAAGAAATAGAAACAAGGAAAAGAGTACTAAGAAATAGAAACAAGGAAAAGAGTACTAAGAAATAGAAACAAGGAACAGAGTACTAAGAAATAGAAACAAGGAAAAAGGGAACAGAGTACTAAGAAATAGAAACAAGGAAAAGAGTACTAAGAAATAGAAAAAGGAACAGAGTACTAAGAAATAGAAACAAGGAAAAGAGTACTAAGAAATAGAAACAAGGAAAAAAAGTACTAAGAAATAGAAACAAGGAACAGAGTACTAAGAAATAGAAACAAGGAACAGAGTACTAAGAAAGAGAAACAAGGAAAGAGTACTAAGAAATAGAAACAAGGAAAAGAGTACTAAGAAATAGAAACAAGGAAAAGAGTACTAAGAAATAGAAACAAGGAAAAGAGTACTAAGAAATAGAAACAAGGAACAAGTACTAAGAAATAGAAACAAGGAAAAGAGTACTAAGAAAAGAAACAAGGAAAAAGTACTAAGAAATAGAAACAAGGAAAAGAGTACTAAGAAATAGAAACAAGGAAAAAGTACTAAGAAATAGAAACAAGGAAAAGAGTACTAAGAAATAGAAACAAGGAAAAGAGTACTAAGAAATAGAAACAAGGAAAAGAGTACTAAGAAATAGAAACAAGGAAAAGAGTACTAAGAAATAGAAACAAAGAAAAAGAACTAAGAAATAGAAACCAGGAACAGAGTACTAAGAAATAGAAACAAGGAAAAGAGTACTAAGAAATAGAAACAAGGAAAAGAGTACTAAGAAATAGAAACAAGGAACAGAGTACTAAGAAAGAGAAACAAGGAAAAGAGTACTAAGAAATAGAAACAAGGAAAAGAGTACTAAGAAATAGAAACAAGGAACAGAGTACTAAGAAATAGAAACAAGGAAAAGAGTACTAAGAAATAGAAACAAGGAACAGAGTACTAAGAAATAGAAACAAGGAACAGAGTACTAAGTAATAGAAACAAGGAAAGGAGTACTAAGAAATAGAAACAAGGAAAGGAGTACTAAGAAATAGAAACAAGGAACAGAGTACTAAGAAATAGAAACAAGAACAAACTAAGAAATAGAAACAAGGAAAAGTACTAAGAAATAGAAACAAGGAAAGAAATAAGAAATAGAAACAAGGAACAGAGTACTAAGAAATAGAAACAAGGAACAGAGTACTAAGAAATAGAAACAAGGAAAGGAGTACTAAGAAATAGAAACAAGGAACAGAGTACTAAGAAATAGAAACAAGGAACAGAGTACTTGAAATAGAAACAAGGAAAAGAGTACTAAGAAATAGAAACAAGGAACAGAGTACTAAGAAATAGAAACAAGGAAAGGAGTACTAAGAAATAGAAACAAGGAAAGGAGTACTAAGAAATAGAAACAAGGAACAGAGTACTAAGAAAGAGAAACAAGGAAAAAAATAAGAAAACAAGGAAACTAAGAAATAGAGTACTAAGAAATAGAAACAAGGAAAAGAGTACTAAGAAATAGAAACAAGGAAAAGAGTACTAAGAAATAGAAACAAGGAAAAGAGTACTAAGAAATAGAAACAAGGAAAAGAGTACTAAGAAATAGAAACAAGGAACAGAGTACTAAGAAATAGAAACAAGGAAAAGAGTACTAAGAAATAGAAACAAGGAAAAAACTAAGAAATAGAAACAAGGAACAAGTACTAAGGAAAAGAGTACTAAGAAATAGAAACAAGGAACAGAGTACTAAGAAATAGAAACAAAAAAAAAGAGTACTAAGAAAAGAAACAAGGAAAGGAGTACTAAGAAAGAAACAAGGAACAAGGAACAGAAACAAGGAAAAGAAATAGAAACAAGGAAAGGAGTACTAAGAAATAGAAACAAGGAACAGAGTACTAAGAAATAGAAACAAGGAAAATAAGAAATAGAAACAAGGAAACTAAGAAATAGAAACAAGGAAAGAGTACTAAGAAATAGAAACAAGGAAAAGAGTATTAAGAAATAGAAACAAGGAACAGAGTACTAAGAAATAGAAACAAGGAAAGAGTACTAAGAAATAGAAACAAGGAAAGGAGTACTAAGAAATAGAAACAAGGAAAAACTAAGAAATAGAAACAAGGAACAGAGTATTAAGAAATAGAAACAAGGAACAGAGTACTAAGAAATAGAAACAAGGAAAGGAGTACTAAGAAATAGAAACAAGGAACAGAGTACTAAGAAATAGAAACAAGGAAAAGAGTACTAAGAAATAGAAACAAGGAAAGGAGTACTAAGAAATAGAAACAAGGAACAGAGTACTAAGAAATAGAAACAAGGAACAGAGTACTTGAAATAGAAACAAGGAAAAGAGTACTAAGAAATAGAAACAAGGAACAGAGTACTAAGAAATAGAAACAAGGAAAGGAGTACTAAGAAATAGAAACAAGGAAAGGAGTACTAAGAAATAGAAACAAGGAACAGAGTATTAAGAAATAGAAACAAGGAACAGAGTACTAAGAAATAGAAACAAGGAAAGGAGTACTAATCTGTTACGTGATATCTCCCCTCTCGTAGGACAGTGTTACACAATCTCCTCAAAGATGAAGAAGAGACCTGAAGCAACAGAAACATGGTATTCTCTGCATCCTTCTGTAGAAGAATGCGGAGAATACCATGAAACATTTGAGCAACGGCGAAGTTTTAAAGAAAATGAAAACAAAAAGAAAACTTATACTTAACACCAGGAAGAGAAATTTGAGGTTTCTAGTGCATTAGTGCATCTAATGAGGAAAGAAAGTTTGGGAAATCTGATACTCATAGGACAGATTGAAGGTAAGAGAAACAGAGGAAACCAACGCATAACATAGTGAGCTTGAGAAAATGGATGGCGGAACAGTGTTTAGGAGAAATAACACGAAGAAAAAATATTAATAGCTACAAAGAACTGGAAGTTGTGGAGAACGATGATCCTGAGGGGCACGGCACATAAAGGAGAAGGGGTTTATTCAAGATTACTCTATTTTATATTGGGGCTATAAACTGACCTGATTAAACATCATCTTGCGGCTTCAGCCGAGATTGAACTCACCAATACTTTGACTGGTGTAGTTCATTATCTTGTCAAGTAGCTTAATTCTTGATGCTTCGCTAGCGCTATCAAGGGTGTTTTTTATCGTGACACCATCACTAAATGGATTGCCAACAAAGGCTCAGAGAGACTCCATTCACCCTCATCTAAGAGCAGGTTTGAATTCAGAGTTTTCCTTCTCCTAGACCAGTTGCCATCCAAGGCTATAGAACCCAGTCTGTCCTGCTATTCACCCATAGCTGGAGGGAGAAGAAGAGGATTCACACCTTTCCCAAGGGTGTTAGCACGTAAGTGAATGTAACGGATTCGACTGGAATTCGAACCTGATTAAACATCAAACTATGATATGTGAATAAAATAATATAAATTTATAATACGGGAAAAAGACGCGCTGCATTCTGGGTAAATGGGAGTAAATTCTAATTTCGCTTATTTTATACCCAGAGGTATAAACTGGCCTAGCCTAACTTATATACCCAGGTATGAATTAGCCTCACCTAGTATGTTCTGGATGGAGGTGAGCATACCTGGGTTACACACAGTTATAAAATTGACAAATACTAAGCAAATAATACTTTGTAAGTGCATGTGTGTATTCCTGCACAAGTCATCGTGACTGAGGGTTTGAGTGTTCTGGTGTTGTTCAGATTGTTGATCATTCTTGATAACACGCTCTCCCGCAGAAACCGTAACTAAAGTCTGTTCAGCATAGTTGGCGCTGTGGTGTTGAACAAACACTAATGTGCCTGAACAAGAGCTTGCAATAGTGATATGTCACCGAAAGGGATATATTTGTTCGAAGTATCAAAGTGGTTTTGGACTACTGTAGCCGAGTAGGACAATGTAGCAGGTAACCGTAATGGACTGGTCCTCGTCGTAGCGGTAGGCAATAGGGGTAGGCATTAGGCTAAGACAATAGGTGTAGCCAATAGGCGTCGTCCATGTACCTCCACATCAGTCTGCATTTATGGTTGACACCTGCCAATCATATTACTGTGAGGGGAAACTCAGGTGTATATATATTCATTACATCAAATAGGGATTGGTTAGCCGCCCTAGTAGACGGGTATCCTCGAATGCAAGTGGCCAGCTATTATTATTATTATTATTTATGCCTGCAGTTAAGTACTTATATAGGTGTGTATATGCTCAGGTACATTTTGTGTGCGTGTGATTGTGTGTGTGTATGTGAAAATTTATGATTGCACATACAGGGTGCGATGGATAAATTGTCACCATTATATATATTTTTTTTAATTTCGCGCATGCGCGTTGCTTGTTTTTGATTTTGTCGATTGCATAGTATAGCAGGGTCACTTGGGCTGCGTCTATGAGAAAAAAAGTGTACCATGACACAATTCATTCCTCCAGAAATTTATAAACAGTATAATGTACTGCGTGGTATTCTGTATTGCTTGGTAGGACTTCAAAATATTTTTGTGTAATTTTGGTAAATGTCTCTCTTAAAATGAGATGTCAGTGTTATTTTTATTTTTGTGTCATTTAGACGACAATTTATCCATCACACCCTGTATGTACCTACATATCAGTATTTTTTTTTTATATACGGCTTTGATTTGTTTCTTTGTATGCATGAGTTGGGATGAAATATACATGAAATATGGATCGGAATTCGACAGAATGGTAAGTTAAAGAACAAATAGGAGATGTTTATCAATTTAACTTGATTTAGATTTTTAAAAGCTTTAATAAAAGTGAAACATGTTTCCTATTCGTTCTTTACCTTATCAGTAGGCATGTATGTATGCCTTGTGAGTATATGGGCATGTGGTTAGAAAGTTAGCTTGCTGACCATGGACCCGGTTTCGAATCTCACCATGGTCGATTTGATATGATCGGTCTTGGGGGGACGATCCTAGCGGGGGGGCACCTTTGGGAAATGCCCGAAAACCATGGGTTGACGTAAGCCTTGTGAGTGAAATTGGAACCCTTTGGATCCGTCGATGGTTGTAATAGAAGGGTTTAAGCATGCTGGCCTTGTTCAAAAAACTGAACGCACGAGATCATGTGCCGTCTCCCAGGAACTGTAACTAAGGTCTGCTCTGCATAATTGCAATGTAAATGGTAATTACCTTTAACTCCCCACTGAGTTAGGTTGTGACACAAGGCCGGTTTTTAACGTGGGGACCTTAGTGTCTCTACTCAGACCACTCGTCTAAGCTTGTCTTTAGCTAGTCATAGCCGGTCATACCACCGCTATGGAACAGATGTTACGGAACAAGTCAGATGATTCTGTCCAGGAAGTGATTGAGAGAACAGTCATCGGCACGGAACAGATACTACAACAGCAGCATCTACTCCGACGGGGAAACTATCTTGTCAAGTCTCGGTATTTACCAGATACCCCACCACTGGATTAGGTTGTGACACAGGGTTGGCTATTTAACGTGGGGAACTGGTTCAAATTTACCCAATCCCCGCTTACGCGGAATCGAGCACAAGGCCCGTCTTAGTACGACATAGCTTAGCCAAGGCCACGTAACAGATACTACAATTTGATCATAGCCTCGGGACGGATGGGGTTGAGCGGGTGTTTTAATAGGGATTTGCTAGCCGCCATGATATACGGGAGTGCTTGGAAACGGGTAACAAGCCATTATGCATACGCTTGTCGGTATACACTTTTCTATCTGTATCTCTCAGATGAGGTATTATGATTACTTACATTATTTACATTATCTGGACTGTTATCCGCATCTTCATTGCCATATTCACAACGTTTCGGTGACTGGAATTTCGAACAGAACCATTATTTCGTCCAGCGAGATAGATTGGGCCACACCTCTTCCGGACATCTCAGTTATTTACCTTTAACTCAACTCACGATTATCTAGCCTGGTATTGATCCCACAATTCTTTGGATCTAGTTACTGGATCTAACTAACGTATTTAACTACTGGACCATATGAAAATGGCAATGAAAATGAGGATAACAATCCGAATAATATAAATAGTGTAGATATACAATTATATACGTATATGCGTGCGTTTGTGTGTATATACTCTTCGAAGAATGTCGTCTGGAACACAAACGGCTGAAGCGGCGCTTTGAATGGGTGATAATCATGGACTCGACGTGGGTATCAAGGGCTGTACATGTGATTTCTGTCAGCGTATACTTCTTTCAAAGGCTTGCTGAGTGAATCATGTGAAGTCACATAAAGAAAAAAAAATTGACATTCTTCAGACGCAGAGTTTCACAGCCTGCACGCTGTGTGACAATGTATGTACAACCAACTCCGGACTGAAAATGCAAATGGCGGTGCACAGGAATCAGACACAACGGTGTGAATCCATCAAGGTTGTGGCAAGTCTGCAGCCGGCCTGTCAAGTCACCTTCGGGGGTCATGAACAAGAGAGATGCGAGGTTGGGAGTGATAGTGATTAGGCGGCCATTATCTGTGAAGATGTGGCAGATCATCATCATCATCATCATCATCATCATCATCATCATCGTCATCGTCATCATCATCATCATCATCATCATCACATGTATACGCACGTGTATGCGTTTGTAGGCATCTATGGAATATATGTACGTGCGTGCTTTTGTAGATGTCTATGTGTATACATATATGTGTGCCTATATATATATGTGCGTTTGCACACACACATTTGCATATGTATACGTGTGTGCGCGTGAGTGTTTAATCCGTGTAAACCTAAAGTTGACAGAACTTCGTAAAAGAACGGAAATTAGGGACAGGGTCTTAGTGAAAGCGGTGGAACGGCCTAGTTAAATTCCCACAGCCTGGGGCGCCATTTCTCTAATACCTGACTTAAGGCCCACCCGTTTGCTACCCGGGATAACGTACATTAAAGGCACCGACAAATCTAGGAGCATTATTCTAAAATGCGTACCTGACTTTTGTCTCCAATCGACTTTCGATTAAACACAACTTTCTTTCTTTTTTTTTTTTTTTTTTGCTGGATTTGAAGAAAGTTTGAACCTTATGAACAGAACCATTAATAGTATAATCTTTTTTATCTCAATGACCTTTTCTCTCGTTTCAGAAAACAAATTGATTTTTTATGTAAACAGCCGATCAAACACAGTCAGCGTATATGTATAAGTATGGTCTTTGAGTTCACTTTCCTCTCAAACAAGATTCATTTTCAGATAAAAAAAAATTTTCTTACGTTTGGTGTTACACACTTGAAATGAAGATAATTTTTTTTTTTTAATTAAATTCTGAAAAGTGTTTTTTTTATTCATCTTAATTTCAGTTTTAAGGACTCGGATCGCCATTTTCCTGTCGCGAGCTCGAATCGACAAAACATAGAGAAAAAAGAAACAGGATTTTGGTGAGACTCGATATCGCATCCCTTTTCTCTCGGGAATTTACCTTAGCAGGATATCAAGGGGTTCTCGCCCAGGTGGAATTTTCGCCCTGAGTATGATGATAAACGATATCAAGGCCTCTGATCGGGAGGATCTGAAAGAAAATGCAACCATACTTTAATCATTGTTGTTCCAAGGTCCCTCTTGACCCAGCTGTTAGGGTCCCAGCTGTTAGGGTCCCAGCTGGGACCAAAACACTATGAAAGGACAAAATTTTTATATTAAATTTACCAACAGTACATTTTCATAGTAATAAAAATTACCAGCAATACATTTTTATAACAAAAAAAAAAATATATATATATATATATCAGCAATAAATTTTATTGTAAAAAAAAATTACTAATGCTCCCAAGAAAATTAAATTTCGGCATTAAATGACCCAATGGGTTGATATGCCGTAAACCAAACCAAACCCAACTAAACTAAACTAAAGTAAACTAAACCAAGCCAAGCCAAACCAAACCAGGTGGAATTCACCCCAGATGGAATTCACCCCAGGTGGAATTCACCTCGGGTGAAATTTCAGGGTTTTAAGGGGGGTATTTTCCTTTTACTTGCTTTGTTTTATTTTATTTACAGAATTTGGAACCCATCGTGAGTGTAAAAAAAGACGATATGATAAATCTTATATTCAACATGGATTCACATACACCATAATCAATGGATAAGAGAGTATGTATTGTGTTGCAAAGCTTTGTCAAATGATTATTTGAAGCCAACAATGTTGAAGCAAAATTTTGCAGAATGCTCGTACTAAGTACATCTGAGAAAGGCACCAAAAGATATAATAATTAGTTGTGATTTAAATTACTTTGCATGTATTTAAGTTTAAAAATGCCCCAACATTTTCTATTGTAAAAAAAAATTGTAAAACTCCTCTATAAAAATAATCCATGTATAATATGGAAAAGAATGAAGATTTTCAATAATAGATGCATATTGTTTGAAATGTACCTTTTGAATCGGACAATCTGGGAAAGTGTGGATGGGTCACATTCTGACATATGGTTAAAAAGGTGCATAGGGCAAAAAATATTGAGAACCACTGTCTTAGGTTAAGCAATGGTTACAGATCTAACCACATACCTCTGATCTAGTTTCGTTGCAGCCTTTCTTCTAATGCACGGTGCTGCAATCTTTGAAGATATTCATATTTGAAAAAGACGTTCCATTTTATTTTAAATTTTATTTCAAACAGTGTGTGTTGTATCTATCAGCCTGCGCATTTGAGACATCTTAATAAGGAAAACGTGATCTCCATCAGGAATCGTACCTGCGTCCCTATTGTAGGAGAAACCATTGTTTGATCCGACATGCTTTACAATTGCCGACAGAGATCGCTACAATACAGCAAGGCTCTATCAAGTTCGGTCTCTGTCGGAAAGCCCATTTTCTTTAGATCTTTCCCGAATACGCAAGCCGATAAACGTAATAGAGACTGTTTGAAATAAAATTTGAAAAAGAGGAGAGTCTATTTCAAATACGAGTATCCACTATAATAATTTTTGAAATAATAAAATATCGGATTAAAAATAAATCCATTAATTCTTTATATATATATATATATATATATATATATATATATATATATATATATATGTTGAAACTTGACTAATGCATGGAATAATAATCCAACACAAAATGTACTTAGAACAAAATGTATTGAAACAAGAAAGTGTACGCAATATTTACATATAGTCTTTTATATATTCCTGGTAAGACCGTTCCTGGAGAATGTGTTAACTGAGTCGCAGTCGGGCAGAGTCTCTGGTTGAATCTCTTGATTCCTCCCTCTCTTCCCGGTACCAACCATATTTATATGGTCGGTACTTCACTATGCAAATTAGGTGGATCCTACCACAACAATATATATATACTGAGCACTTTTATATTAGTTCGCAGTGACTATATATATATATATATATATATATATATATATATATATATATATGTGTGTGTGTGTGTGTGTGTGTGTAAATAAGTTAGCAGTAACTAAAACTATATATATATATATACAAATTTTATCATATAATTTAATACTTATTGGTTAGAATAAATTCCATTTTAGTATAACCCCAACTTTAAAGCTCTTAATAGCTATTATAACCTTACTTCGTTGGCAAGTTTTTGAATTCTCCTATACTTGTGTTTTGATTGGTCATTCTAGTTTTTGTAACAGCGTTTTCCCCTTGCGATGGATCATTAATTAATTTGAAACTTTTAAAATCATTTATTTTACATTCAACATCATCACTTGATAAGACACCGGAGGTGTTGAAACAAAATGGCTATTTTTGTAGAGATTTTATAACATATTTATGTTATAATTTTTAAATAAATAAATATATATATATATATATATATATATATATATATATATATATATATATATATATATATATCATTGAATAATTTAGACAAGTTTTTGTCTACTTATTTTCAAATGGATCCTTTCATATTCATGGACAAGCTTTTTGGTGTCATTATTAAAGAAAGAAAATTACCGTGTTGATACATATTTTATTCCGTGTACTTTCGACATAGTGCGATATCATCATCAGGGTGTTTATTTCAAGACAAATATTGTAGTGTTCATCATTTTCAAAGACAAATTTGCTGTGTTCATCTGAAATTTATAATTCTTTTACTTGTGAAGTGAAGAACGCTGAGTTGATGGCTGCAATTGGCTTGAGTAACGCTTCAGGGGAGGTAACTAAGTTATGATGTTATTGAGAGTATTTTAAGAAATAAGTATTAAAACTGTTCGTACACACACGCATACACACACACACACACACACACATATATATGATAAAAATAGTTTTAAGTTATGCTATATTCATGGATAAAATTGTTCAATCTTAAGGATAGAGCGTATATAAATAAAAAGTAGATACTGAGATCAACACATTGAGGTGATAGTCTGTTTCATGCTTGAGCGAAATCTTCAGGCTATTTGTGTTGTTTCTTGGCTCGACTATTTTTATATTCTGGTTAATGGTGCATTATGGGTGCCAAAGTCAGGTATTTCCGGTTTATTGTATTATCCTAAGTGTTACTGAGTAGGCGGTACGGTTATATTTCAAATTATTCTAAAGGCTATTGGTTAAAAATAATTGTAAATCCGTATGCGGTTATTTGTAGCCATTGCACAGTGTTGCTTGTTAACTTTTAACTCTTTATTTAATATGCATTACTTATTTTACTTATTCATTAACTATTTGTTGTTGATTATTTATATTTACTTGAGTTTATATGTGCATTCGTAGTTTGTTAATTATTTACTTAATTTGTTAATTAATTTATTTTAATGTTTTGTTTATTTATTATTATTATTATTATTTCTTTTCGAGTGTTGTTTATCCTATTTGTTTAGTTTAAAGTATTTTCTTTGCCTAAATTATGCTACATTGGCTACATTGGTTATAGTGCATACATTTGCATTTTTCTTGGTGATATTGTACAAGGTATTTTTTTTTTAGTTTTTAATTTTTAAGTGACAGCTGGGTTTCGATCCGAGCTAGAGGCAACCGGACATCTATCACACTGATGAGCAGTGAATCAGTCCGTCTGTAGGTGACAATATATACGCTCCTAAAAAACTATTTCGGTTAAGCTCTCTGAGAAGAAAGTGTGAGTTTGTAAACAGTGAGTGTTACTGCTACTAATGCAATACTCTTCGATAAAACGAATCGAGTTGTTGTGGTGTCATCCCTCTAAAGAGTCTTTGTTGGACTCTTCCGCCTACTATAAGATTCGTAGGGGAAAAGAACTTGGGGGAGCAGTCGCATAGATTGTTCAACTGTCGAACTCTCTGCCTCGAGCGGAGAGGAACTTTACCGCAGGGCAAACTTTCGTCCGGGGAGGCAGACAGTCCCTGAACTCGTTTAGGCGGGTTCAAAGGGAATATTTTTGGTCGAGGTTACGGGCTCGGAGTACCCACGTTAAACTTGTCCTTGTGCCACATACACCCACGTGGGGAGGCTGTTAAATATTAACAGTCG